TGTATTCAGAACTGGCTGTTTCCTGCAGCACAGAAGATCAGGAACATTGGAACGTCTATAAAGACAGTGGAGAGCTTGCTCATTCTAAGCTGTCAGCAAGTCTGTTTTTCATCTGTGTGCCTGAGAATGACAAGAATGTGGCAAAAGACAATCAGTAAGGATTGGTGTATTGAATGGATGTGACTTTAGCATCAGATTTCCAGTTTCTGAACTATTTGGCAAAGGAAAGGGTTTAACAAGTTAGATAAACAAGTCGGGAACTTTTTATATAGTGGAGAAAAAGCTGAAGATAAGAAAGCTGCCTTTTAATGGTCCTGCTTCTGATCAGTGGAGATTGAAGCTCCTTGGCCTGAACTTTATCCTCCCATCTCCTCCCTTTCTTCTGGTTGGCACATGGCAGAAGCAGTCTTGAGCAATGAAGGTGGTATGAGGGCCTGTGGGTGATATTGTTGTCTGTTGTGGGCCAGTCTAGCCAGCTGCCAGGCAGTTCTCCTGGCTCAGTGCAGGCAGAGAAAGCCAGCCTAGAGGAGTTTGGAAGGAACTGAGTGATGGGGCGGTTGGCAGGTGGAGCAGAGGAAGGGAGCGACTGCTTCAGCTTCCTTGTTCACTTGGTAGGAACAGCGGAAACGGGAGCCAGCCAGGTGGAGCCAGCGCTTACCTCAGGCTTAACATTTCGCTTTGGTAAAGTGGGCTGGATCAGCAAAACCTCAGATCTCCAATTAAACATAAGAGATTTTCTTTTTTGAGAGTCTTTTATTTCGGCCTCTGATTGGAAATCGGAGATTCTCCCTGCTTACGTGCCATTGATGCTTCCAGGACTGCTTTTAAAAGCCTAATTGCAAAACTGAAAGGAACAAGGTGGGGCCACAGCTTTCTGTTCTGCAACCATCTCTTGAAAAATGCCACACATCAGTACTGGTGTCTGCAATCTGGGTGGCTGCCGTCCACTTTGAGACGTGCTTCTCCAGAGACAGTTCTGCCCACTGACTCATAAAATAGGCTCCCCACCCCTACTTCAGCTCAAATGATGTCTTTTTATTTATTTTAAACCAAGGTTGGTTAAAACACTTGCTGATGCAAGTGTAATCTTTGCTCTGGATCAGATGTGCCTTTCTGTTACCGTGCGAAAGCTCTCAGTTTAAATGGCATCTCAGCCAGGACGTTCACAGGTAGCTCTGAGGAAATCTCTCTCTCAACATACCTCACAAGGGTGATGTGAAGAGGAATGTTGTTGCTCATAAGCTTTTTTGGCAGGGGTTCCCCACATTTTTAAGAGATTGTTTTGCCCCTGGAATACTATTGGCATTTAGTACATAGCTCTAATGTGCCCTGCCACTCTTAACACAATGAAAGAAGTTTAGTTTTGAAAGTGATAATTTTAACAAATGAATTAAAAAGATACATATACAGAAACTTACACTTATTTATTTGTTAAACTTGTCTAAACACTACTCTGGGTGGTTTACATCCAGCGATGAGTTAAGCGTGAAGCAAAACAAATCATGAATATAGTGAAATACAAACACAACGTATAATCAGTAAAACAACCATCAAATAAACCGCTGAAAACCAGACGATGCTGAGCAGGCCATCTAAAAGTAGTCAGCCATATTACGCTAACAAGAGGATGTTCCCAAAGGCTTCAGTAAACCCCCTTGTCTTGAGCATCTTCTTAAAGGCAATCAGGGAGGAGGCCAGGTGTAGCTCCACCAGTGGGTCCTTTGTTAAATGTTTACATCGGTGAGTGTTTAATGTCTTCTCCTCGTTTGGCTGTTTTAGGTGGGAGGTCATCCAAAGACCCTGAAGTAGTCTGGAGTCTTAGAGAAGCATTTCAAGTGTCTTCCAGTGGGATACCCATATGGTTTTATTCCAGTAAAACTAACCAAGAGTTGGGTGACCCCTTAGAACTTGGAGGACATCAGCCCATGATGTCAGACACCTCCGATGATGTGGCCTGTAGTCTGTGGATGCTGGTGCTAAGTAAAACGTCTTAGACTTCAAAGTACCACGAGACCCTTGACTGTTTTTGCTGCAGTAGATCTTTGTTTCCTTCCTTGGCTTGGCGTTGAGAACGCCTCCCTTGCGTTCTGTGAGACACGACCCAGGCAGGATGAGGCTGGAGTGAAAGCAGCGCTCCAGCCTCCTCATGCTGAGCTGGCACGTGCTGGCTGCCCTATTTGTCCACACGTGAGGGCACCCCTTTGGAGGGATATAGCAGGCAGGTGGCTAATCTGAGGTTCTGCCAGGCTCAGAAGCAATCACTCCTCTAATCCTTTGGACTACATCAGCAGTTTCTTGGTGTGTCTGAATAGAGGTTGCTGCAGCCGGCTTTTGAGTCACCGGAAGGCCTTCAGCATACCTACCAACAGAAATCTTCCCTAGCATGGCTCATTCCCACCCTTTGGCACATGGGCCTTGGGGTGGCCCACTTTGATTAATGCGGAATCCGGGGTGGTTTTTATATACTGTATATTGGCCTACAAATCCTGTAGTTCTCCACTCTGGGAGCTCCATCTGACAGATTCATACCTAACGTGGCTCACTTGGAGAAAAGACTTTGTTGGGGAGGCTTTGAAGCTTAGCCCAGGCCCAGCTCTCCACCAGGAGCTTCATGTACAGAAACGGAAGATGCCCCACGGCTGGTTGGAAGCTTCTTTTCTCAGCAGGAGATGAGGGCAGAACCCTGCCTGTGCTAAACCTAGAAGCTTTCCCAACAAGGTCTTTTCTCAAGGTCAGTCACTTCTGGGTTCCTTAGGTGTGGGTCTGTTACATGGAACTCTCAGAATGGAGAACTATGGGGTTTGTAGTCCAAAAAAAAAAGACCTCCAAAATTCCCCATGCCTAGTGCCAGGTAGACAGTACCCCATATGCGGCAGAGGTGCACAGGGTAACAGAGGCTCCTCCCGTAACACCACAACTTTTTTAAAGCGAATTTTTGGAGGTGTTGCAGATCTCTTAACACTCCTTGCAGCTTGTACCATTCCCCAGACAGATGCATTGAGACGAACATGTTTAACTTTTATTAGTTTTTAGTTCATTTCAGGGTGAAGATGAACTGCAGTCTCCCATAAAAAGCTGTGGGGGAAGAGAGTTGTCAGTGTGGTCCAAAAACGCCAAGGCCTGTGAATGCCTTGCAGTGGAGTGGCCAGGCCAGGTTCTCTAGGGCCGTGGTGACTAACCGGGGGGGCGGGTTGGTGCAAAAGCCAGTCTCCAAGCCTTCCCCTTTCCCAGGGGCCACAAGAGGAGTGGTTTCTGGAGCTTTTCTCTGTACAAAGCAGGTGCTCCACCCTAAGCCACTGCTGAAGGCATTCCCATTTGGCACCATGCATGGCAGGCTTTAAACCACCAAGCTCTGCTATTACTGGAGATAACACAGTTTAGGCAGCTGGTGTTGCTGGTTACATTCTGTCAAGTTGGAACTAATTTATAGCAGTCCTAACAGGGCTTTCAAGGTAAGTGAAACATTTTAGGAGTGGCTTTAAGAGTTCAACATCTCCAGTGAGGTTCCATGGCTGGGCAGGGAATTGAATCCAGGCCTCCAGAGCCCTAGTCCATCACGCTGTCCACTACACCACACTGGGTGGTGTGCCCATCCAAAATTGGTGAGTTATCTCAGGAAAAAGGGAGGATGTTAACCTGGTGTTTGTTGCAATAGAAATATTGTTCTTCAACGTGGTCTCTATGAATCCACACTAGTGGGTAAAGACAGCGCCTGCACTGGCCTCTCGGAATCTTCTAGAGCAGTGGTTCTTAACCTTTTTGAAAGAAACGCCCCCTTGAGCCGTTGAGGAAGTTATCATCGCCCCCCTCCCCACGGTGATGATATTTATTTATGATCATCAGCTTCTTATAGCAAAACTCAAGCTTAAACTGAAGAGAGTAGGAAAAACCACTGGGCTAGTCAGGTATCTAAGCCAAATCCCTTATGAATACACAGTGGAAGTGGGCCTTAGAAAGAATGGCTAACAACAAGGCCAGTGGAGGTGATGGCATTCCAGTTGAACTATTTAAAATATTAAAAGATTAAATGCTACACTCCATATGCCAGCAGTGGAAAATTCAGCAGTGGCCAGAGGATTAAAAAAGATCAGTCTACATCACAATCCCAAAGAAGGGCATTGCCAAAGAATGCTCCAACTACCATACAATTGCACTCATTTCATGCACTAGCAAAGTTCTGCTCAAAATCCTCCAAGGTAGATTTCAGCAGTATGTGGACCAAGAACTCCCAGAAGTACAAGCTGTTTCTTCAACATGGCCTCTATGAATCCACACCAGTGGGTTAAGACAGCGCCTGCACTGGCCTCTCGGAACTTTCTAGAGCTATAAGAAAAGTAACAAAGTTTGAGTTGCCCTGTATTGTGCATGCTCCACCCGCCAAACCCCAGTTCCATTTTTTCCGCCAGCGGAGTTGGAACCTCTCGGTTAGAGCTGTGTTAAAAACAGTTTATTTTTTCATCATGCATTGACCTGGAATTGACTTTCGACTTCCCTATCTCTGTTGCCCTGATTACGGACCGTTTTGACTTCTCTTCTGCCTCTGGCGATCGTGCAAGTACCTAAATTGCTCTTAATTGCTGCTTATTTACCGCCCGCTGAGGCGCCACGCGCCTACCAGACTTGTTCTATTATCACTTCAATTGCTGCCGGGCTTGTTCTATTATCGCTTCAACTGCTTGTTTGGCTTATGTCACCTAAAAGAGGCCCATTTCGCCACTGTTCGTCCTGCTCTAGGAAACTTCCCTTCTCAGACGGACATTCTCTCTGTGTTTTTTGTTTGGGGGAGACTCATTTAACTACCCACTGCAAACACTGCAAGGAATTCACTAAAGCTACCCTCAAGGCTCACCAACAAAGCCTAAAATACTTTTTGTGGAATCAAACCCTATCTGCTTCACAACCATCGGGCATCCTCGGTTCGTTCTGAAGTCAGAGTGCTTTCTCCACCTCCTCCTCAGCCTTCTAAAGAGAAGCCTAAGGAAAAGCCTAAAAAAAAGCCGGCAACCAAGAAAGCACTTACCAGTTCGTCTGCTCCATCGACATCCCAGGAGCTGAAACAGAAGAAGACTGCGGTTAAACAAAAAACTAAGTCCAAGAAACTCACTTTGGTCATACCTCCAGTCTCAACATCTCGTCCTTCACCCATACTAGAAGACTCGTCTCGGGATCGAGATTCGACATCGGAGATGGGCGCCTCTTTAACACCTCGACAGGAACCTCCTGTTGACATCGAGAGGTTGCCAACCGCTAGCCAGCTAGCACAAGCCTTTGCTGGCATAGCTAATACCCCTAACTAGCCCTGTTTTAACCGGGCGGGCATCTCGATCTCAATCTTCAGCATCGGGATCTCTTGGATCCAAGTCTCCTCCTCCACCTCGAGGGAGACCAGAGAAGCCTTTGGATGTTCCCTCTCCCCGACGTCCTTCAACAGATCAGGATGAGGGACCTCCATTGAAAAAACCTCGACGCCGACACAGGCATAGACACGGCTATGGCTCCGGTGTCGAAAAACGCAGGAAGCATCGAGACCAAGAGGACACCTCCTTCTCTGATTCAGATGACAGTGCTGAAAAAAGAAAATCACACCGTTGACGTCGGAGGGATTATTCGTCTGAATCGTCCTCGACGTCGAGGGACCGCAGAAGAAGAAGAAAGAGGACACGCCATACTTCTTCTTCATCCTCACTGTCTGTCTCGCCACCGAAAAGACATCGACACCGAAAACATCTTGTTGTCGACACACAGGGTCCATCGACGTCGACAGGAAAAGGACATCCACGTCGACGGGTCACAAATCTAATGATCAGCCTATAGAACCTCGTCCATCTCAGCCTACCAAGCCTCAGAGACCTACCACTGAGACAGAAAGAGGACAACATCCTAAGGTTTTTCCTGTCTCTGATGACGATCACCAAGTCTCTGGAGACTCTTCCGTTCAGGAAGAGGAGGTAACATCTGAGGCTTCCCTAGAGACACCTCTACCAGGGGAACCCTTGGGGTCGGATGCTGCGGACATCCACCCTTCATCACCGTCTGAGGACTTCTCCTCCTACACTCAGATGGTTTCTCGGATAGCAACCACCTTAAGGATGGAAATTGAAAAATCACCCTCACGTGATGATGACCTGATCTTTGGTGACATCAACAAGGAGAGGTCTCATCCTGTCAGTCTCTCCTACATACCTGAGTTACTGGACCTAATTATGGAATACTGGGAGCATCCTGCTAATTCTACTTCCATGTCCAGAACTGAAAACCTTTACCGGATTCATGGACCTAAAACTTCCTTCTTATTAAAGCGTCCAGCTCCAAATTCTCTGGTAGTGGAGTCCACTGCTTCCAAAATTCCTACTAAAGGACACGCTACCCCTTCCAATAAGGAGGGTAGGAAGCTTGAAGTTTTGGGTTGTTGCCTCTACACTTTGACTACTTTTGTCCTCAGAGCAATTAACTACTTGGTAGCCATGGGGGCTTACCAGAAGCAGCTCTGGGCAAGAGTCCTACCAGCTCTGCAAGTCGCCCCAGATGATATTAGGCAGCTGTGCCTCAACGCTCATGCTGAGGCCCTGGAGGCGGAGCTTGACTGCAGTGAAGCCAGCAGCACCCGGTGAACAGCTCCGGGGAAAACTGGACCGTACGGCCTGCCTGTCCCTCCAAGAAGGGGGCGACGGAAGGGGATGTCAGGAGAGGCACCTCCAAGCAGATGAGCCCAGAAGGGTAGAAGATTTGGCAGCAACCGGGTCTTTCTTCCCTCTGAAAATTCATCTACGCGCAGAC